CGGGGAGGGCGCGCGGGGGCGGGGCCGCGCGGCGGCCGCCATCTTGGGCAGGTCGGGGACGGGAGGAGGGAGCGCCTGAGGGGACGGCGCTGGGGACGAGAGTGAGGGATAGGACAGGGAAACGGCTGCCACTGCCACTTCCACTGTCACTTTCACTGCCTTTCCACTGCCACGGGCTGGGTGCGCTGGTGGGAAGGAATCCTGCTCACTCCAGAGTGATGAGGCCCTGGCGCAGTGCCCAGAGCAGCTGTGGGTGCCCCCGGATCCCTGGCAGTGCCCAAGGCCAGGCTGGACACTGGCAGCACCTGGGACAGGGGAAGGTGTCCCTGCCCGTGATGGATGGAGTTGGATTATCCATAAGATCGCTTCAAACTCTTAACTCTTCCACAATTCTGCTTTCCCTGTGGAGGGGGCCATGGCCGCACCTGCGCAGCGGGTAAAGCCTTCGAGCGCCATCACAGCCTCACGCACAGAAAAGTGGTGTGGTTTTCTTAAAACAATTTATTATTTCAATTTTATATAAAAACCATGCAATCAACACGTGGCCAGTGCTGGTTTCCCAGCTCGCATCAGACCCTTTTTCCCGTGATAAAAAATACAAACCGTGACAACAGCTAAACACAGAGGTCAGGATTTTGGGAAAGCCCTTTGATTTTGAAAAGCACCTTTCAATGACCGCACGCTAATTACACCTGGCACAACATAGGAGGAAATCAAACCATAATCTAGGGTACAGAAAAATATAAATCTGCCTGTACATAGTGTAGTAAATACAATTCTCTGTGACGGTGCATCTTTGGTGTGTGTTGATCGAGTGCCTCATTGCACTTCTCCATCACTAGGTTCACGATCTGAGCCTGTGTGGGGCTGGCAGCATGAGGTATTTTGGAGAGCGCCAGAGAAACCCTTGTTCCCCTCATGGAAAAGGGAAGAAGGACCTGATCCTGCCCCCCACAGCTGGGATCACCTCAGTCCCAGGATAAGGAATGGACTAAAGTGTTCCATGCCCTGGAGCCAAGGGGGCCAGGAAACACCCAGACTACCCCAAAACCCCCCCATCCCCAGCGAGCCTGAGCTTTTCTCAGCGAGGGAGACACGGGCCCAGGGTTCAGGAGGTGTTGGAGGGGCTTTGGCCACGCCGCACAGAGACCGACGGGACTCCAGAGAGGTGAAATGAGGCAGGGCCAGCAGCGGGCTGGGGGCCCCTAATCGTCCTCCTCGCCGCCGCCGTAGATTATTTTAATTAATAGTAATATAATTAGTAATAAATATATAAATAAATAATAGTAATATAATTTATTAGATTTCAATTTTAAAATTTAAAATTTAAAATTTCAAAACCAAGTGATTGGCGTTTTTCACGGAGAGGGTGACCCGCACTCTGTCCCTCCCATCCTCGTCCCCGGGTACTCACTGAGCAGCGCCAGGATGCCCCCCAGGATGCCCAGGATGGCGGGCACGCCCATGCCACCGGAGATGTACGCGCGCCGCTCGCAGTTCTTGGCCGGCCCCTCGCAGCTGCAGACCTGGGCTCGCACCGGCGTGATCTGATCCTTGCCCTGCGCATCCAGCAGCTTCAGGAAGATGCTGTACTCGCCCGGCTCCAGCTCCTTCCTCATGCTCAGCTTCACCTCGTCTTGGTGAACCACAGAATCGTTTGGGTTGGAAAAGGTCTCCAAGATTACTGAGTCCAGCCGTGCCCCAGCACTGCCAAGGCCACCACTGACTCATTTCCACAAGTGCCACATTTACACAGCTCTTAAATCCCTCTAGGGATGGGGACTCCACCACTGCCCTGGGCAGCCTCCTCCAATGCCTGAGCACCTTTTCCATGAATGAATTTTCCCCAATATCTAACCTAAATCTCTCCTGCCACAACTCGAGGTTGTTTCCCCTTGTCCTGTATCTTGGAGCAGATCCTGACCCTCACCTGGCTACACCCTCCTGCCAGTAAGTTGTGGAGAGTGAGAAGGTTCCTCCTGAGCCTCCCTGAGCCACTCCTGGTGCTCCAGCCCCTTTCCCAGTTCTGGTCTGGGAACACCCCTGGCACTGGCACAGGACTTTGCCCCGTGGCAGGTGCCCAGCCTAGCGCTCGCTGCAGGGCCCAGCACCAGAGCAGGTGGCACCCACCTGGCTGCACTATGCTGACAGTCCAGTTGCTGCCGGAGCCGTGCATCAGCTCTGCCTTGAAGGGGTAGGTGTTGGGGGGCAGGTCCTTGTCGATGATCTTCAGCGTCTGCTCCTCGGGCTGCCGGTTGCAGATGTCGAAGCTGCGGGGCTCCGGCACGGGCCCGTTGTCATTCACGTCCTGAAGCAGGAGGAGCAGTGTCCCCGTGCCGGTGCCATAGTTTGGTGACCCTGTGGGACTAAGAGTCAGCGAGGCACCCGGGGAGGGGCCTGCAGCCCATGGGGGGACATGGGGATGGGCACAGGGGCAGCAGCCGGCCACCCTCACCGTTGTCCACGGCCAGGACGATGGCCTTGTAGGTGCTGTTGATGGCATGTGCCGACTCCCGGTCCAGTGCGTGGGCTGCCGTGACGATGCCGTTCTCAGGGTCAATGGCCAGCCACCCTGCAGGGTCGCTGCCCATGCGATACCTGGGGGCAGCCAGGGGTCAGCAAGGGGCACACGGTGCAGCGCAGCCCCTCAGACATCCCAGCAAAGCCCCCGCCACCATCACCCTCCACTCACGTGATTTTCTGTCTCTGGTCCTTGTCGGGGTCCTGGGCTGTGTAGGAGGTGACCTGGTATCCCACTGGCACATCCTCCATCACCTCCACCTGCTTGACTTGGGGTATGAAGATCGGAGCTTCATTCACATCCCTGACCACCACCAGGACATTGGCTGTGGCAGGATTCAGGGCCACGGTGAAGGGGACCTCGTTCTGCACTGACACCACGAGCTTGTAGCGGTTCTGGGTCTCATAATCCAGGCCCTGGGGGTGGGAGAGAAGCCAGGTAGTGCCAGCAGGGAGTCAGCTGGTGCTGGGGCAGCCATGTGGCAGCAGGACCCACCCTGGCAGTCTTCAGGAGCCCGTCGTTGGTTTTGGGGTCAGTGGTGATCTCGAAGTTGCCCTGTGGGTCCCCGCTCTGGATGCGGTAGACGGCGCGCCAGGCCGGGGAGCCTGGCAGGTCCTGGTCTGTCACGTGCAGCCGGGCCACCAGCACCCCCACCTCGTTCTCGTCCACTGTCTCCTCGTACTGCAAGATGGGACAGGGACAGTCACCTGTGTGGCCCCAGGCACCCCAGGTGGGGGCTTGTGCCACGATGCCCGGGGAGGGCAGCGGCTGGGGCGGGGTGGTACCGTGGAGGGGTCGAAGACAGGAGGGTTGTCGTTGGCATCAGTGACTTTGATGATGGCAGTGGCAGTGTTGGTCAGGCCAGTGCCTTCCTGGTCTGCAGCCTGGATGATCAGCGTGTAGTTGGGAGTGGTCTGCAGAGCAAAGTCATCCCAGTAAGGGCTGAGGTGGGGACTGGGGTGTTCCCCTCCTCCAGGCATCACCTGTCTGCTCCTCCACCCTTCTCCAGCCTCACTGTTTCCTGCTGGCGCACAGGCAGCCAATGTCCCAGCTGCCCACCCGAGGGACTGGCACTGTACCCACTCTAGGGCTCAGCAAGGTTCCTGGAGTGTCCCCAGCATGGCTCCTGGTGAGCTCAAGGCTGTCGACACCCCTACAGCCAGAGACAGTGACCCAGGGATGCCACATCCCAAAACCAGCTGGACCCCAGGACTGCGGTATCCCTTTCTCCCCATGGCACATCCCACTGTGCAGTAGCCACAGGTTCCCTTGGGCTGCGGCAAGGCGCCCACCTCCCGGTCCAGTCCTGTGCCAATGACACTGATGATGCCCTTCTCGGCGTTGATGGTGAACATGCGCTGGGCACCCTTGGGCTCCTCGCTGAGGATGGAGTAGCCGATGATGCCATTGTTCACATTGATCGCATCATCTGCATCCGTAGCGTTCACGGTCATCACAGATGTGCCTGGACATGGGGACAAGCCAGGGGGATTTTAGTGGTGGGACAGAATCCACCAGGCACCCTGGCACTGCTGGTGCTCGGGGCTCTGCGTGGTCCCAGCTCAGAGTCCCCCACATACCCGGCTTTGCGTTCTCCTCAATGTAGCCAACGAAGACTTGCTGGGTGAAGACGGGCCGGTTGTCGTTCTGGTCAGTGACAGTGATGATGATCTCCATGGGGTCTTCCACGGGCTGCCCGTTGGCCGACACGGCGTGGGAGTAGAGCTGCAAGGGCACAGTCAGTGTGTGTGCAGTGCCCAGGACTGTCCCCGTCCCACCGCAGCTGTCCCCTCACTCACCACGTATTTGTCCTTCTCCTCCCGGTCCAGGGGTTTTGTCACCTCCAGCCACCCCGTCTCCCGCTCGATGATGAAGACACCCACGGGGATGGTATCTGCTCCCTGCCCCGTGATGCTGTAGAAAACCTTGGTCTCCTTGTCCTTGTTGGATTTGATCTGGCAGAGAGGGAGGAATAAGCCGGTGGAGACATGTCCCAGCACTCTGGGGACGCCCCTGGACCCTGTCTGCTCCGTGTGGGGACACCCACCTGCACCAGCTTCTTGGGGAAGGGTCCCCGCTCGTTCTCAGGGCAGTTGATGGGGGGGATGACCCAGTCCCTCTTCTGCCGCCGGAGGCCGTGCCCGTGCTCCGGGAAGATCAGCACGTCCGGTACTGTGCCCTGTTGGGACAGTGGCTCTGTCAGTGCCAGCACCGTGCTGAGCCCTCTGCACCAGGGACGGGGGTGCTGTGACCCCAGGGAGCGGCTCTGTGCTTTACCTGCTGCATGTGCTCGTGGTGCCGGTGCTGGTGCCGCCGGCGGCGCAGGGTCACCTTGGCCGAATGCCTCTTGCCCGTGGTGTCCCAGGTGTGCACAGCGAAGGTGATGTCCCGCTGCTGGAGCTGCAGGGGCCGCGTGGCAGAGACAATGCCATCCCTGCTCACCTTGAAGCGCGTGTCGTCCGGGAGGAAGGCGGCACGGTGCGACTCGCCACAGTCCACAAAGCTCACTGGGGATGGGACAGAGTGGCAGAGGGTTCTGGGGACATGGGCACACGCAGCACAGCCCCCTCCTGGGGTGTGGGGTCACAGCAGTGGTGGGGATGCTCCACACACGGTGACACCTGCCCTGCTAGGATTCCATCCTGGGCACAACACACGGTGCATCCCTGCCCTGGCTTTGGTCCAGGATGGGACATGGCAGGACCTACTATGCCACAGGATCCCTGCTGGACAGTGACAATGGGGCAAGTGGCACCTGGCACAGCATGTCGCAGTCCCCAGCACCATGTATGGCATGGCACCAGGCACGGCACATCCCCAGATGGGTGTATCCCTGTGGCACAGCATGCCCCCAAGCATGGCATGTCACCACCACTGTGCCCTTGCTGCTTTTCCAACAAAAACAAAGGCAGCAGTCATCCACTGGCACCCAATG